GCAGATGATGAACCAGCTGGGCCAATGTAAGTGCATTCTAAGAAAAAAAAAAATTACTTGGCTTAATCTGAGGGTTTGTGGGAGTTTACAGTACACGGGATTGATATTACGTCTGACGTTACTACTGGTAAGGGACCCTTTGGTTTGTTGTTTGTTGATGCTGGAGTACAGAGAAGTGCTATCTGCCAGGTCCTCGGCAGAAAAACAAATATTGCTGAAGGAGGTAGAAATAATATCTGTGCTGACACAAGGTGCGGTCTCCCTGCTGTAGCCCATGTGAGGTACTTTCTGCAAATATCATAAGCAAAAAAAATAAAGGGGCAAAAAGCTTCTTCAGTTGTAAAAAGGAAGCAGTAAAACTAGAAAGCAAAGTGACAGATGTAGGAGGTGAATTGCACTGGGCCAGAAGGTGGCAAGATACAAAGTCTAAAAGCTGTGTTGTCTTCAGCCACTTAAGAGGACGAAGACTGAAACGTTGCTGAACTTACTGTGTACAAAGATGTGTTTTTGCTATGCTTGTGATTTGATTTTGGTGCATTTTTTTTTATTCTTTCTTTCTCCAGGAAAACCAATTCTACAAACAATCATAAAGATAAAAACTTACGCCAGAGAAACACAAATTAAAAATGCTTATCATGTAAGTATGACTTGCACACATCTGAAAGAGTCAGGCTAAAGTCCTCCTTTTTCTGTAGTGGTTAGGGTGTGTAAACGTAACTTGTTCCACATAGTAAAAAATTCCCGGCTGCTCAGAGGACGGCACTTGCCTTCCTGCCATGCTTCCAAGAGCAGTGGGGGTTATCAAAAGATTTTCTTCATAAAACACGCAGGTAGTTTAGTGATCGAGTAGCTGGCAAACTCTACATAATCATGACTGTTGCTAATAAAAAACCCCAAACCCTTCCTCATTCAATCTTAAAATCTGGAAGCTAACTTTGATTGGGAAGCTTTTACCTTCATTTAAGACTGAAATGGATGTGATGTTTCGCGCTCTGATTGCACGCTGTTATGGCACGCGGTGTTGAAAATGCTGCCGGGCATTGACTAGCATCTTTTCTCATTTCTTTTTTAGAGCTTTAAGTTTCTGAGAGACTGATGGCAATATGACCTGCTAAATTTAAGGGTTGGAACTCTTGGTTCTAGAACTCCAGTTCTGTCTGATTTTTTTTTTATTATTTTTTTTTCTTCTTTTTTTTCCTTTTCAAGTGAGCAACAATATGACTGTCTAAAGCATGCCTTATTTAGCCTCTCCTGTAAGGATGACCTAGCCAGATAAATTTTAATAATGCTTCAGTGTAGAAGGTGTAAACTATTTTGGGCTTGATGTGCTGTGAATGTTGCTTTTTTTTTTTTCCTTACGCTATTTAAACATTAGAAGTAGTAAGTCAGTTCACGCATGCGCCATTTTTTACTTCCTGTAGCTGTTAAAATTGGCAAAGCTCTAAAACGCACTGCTGCCATCTAGTGATACTTTTTGTAAAGTACAGCAAAACTTAAAAATATATACAGTATATATTTATATTTTGGGGGAGGGGGAAAACCAAAATACAGTAATTGTGTTTCATTTTTAAGCTGCTGATATTCATTCCTTACTGTATGTCTGAAAGATGAGAGAATTATACTGTTCTGGTACTTAGAGAAGTAATATAAATTGAAATTATCTTAAGGGCTTAACCTATATAGAGAGACTTGGGTGTCCTATAATCAGGCTTCAAAAGCTGGAATGGTTCAACGTGGTGGTGGAATGCAGTTGAAAACAAAAACAAAACTTCAGTTTATAAATATATATATATATGATTGCTTTTTAAGTGATTTTTTTTTTTGTTAACTCATGTAAATTCTCAAATCCTTTTGCACTGATGTGTTCAACATATTCTTGTACATTCAATTCAGGCAAACTTTTATAATTTTCTTTTTGTTTTTTTTTGGTTAAATGATGAAATGTTACAGCATGGTGATATTCTATGCAACTAGTTATACTCTTTAGTTTGACACTGTAATTTCTCATGATTCAAAGATTGTAGAAATAGACTTAACAGGGTTCTCATGACGTGCGTAACTGTAGATGCATGAACTTGTGTTCTGTGTATTTGTTGAAGTGCAATGATGTATAAAAAGTGGATTCACCTGTTTTTAAAAATAAAACACTGACCAAAAAAAAAAAGGTGTGAGACTTTTTCCAAGCATTTAATCGTACTTAAGCTTGTGTATCCCGAGTGCTGGGAATCCTGGAGTTTTTGTTCCAGGGGTGATGAGCCGGTGCTTCTCAACCTTCTGTGAGTTTTTTCAGTTCCTTCTCCACATCTTCCACAAAAGCCAGGAAATTCTGATCCATAAGACATAAGCGGATGAAGGGTCCCAGCTCTGTTGCAGGCCACACTGAATGCTGATACGCAGGGGTGAGCTCAGACTTCTTTGTCAGCACAGACTGCAAAAGTACAAAAACAAAGGTGTTGCACTCATCTTGGACACAAAAGGTAACGTTACGTGGCTTTGTAACAACACAGCTCCATCACAGTTTTCCTTCGGTATCTAGTAAAGTTGTTTCTGCCCTGTTGTTAATGCTGTTTGGACACTTTCAATCTGATATGATTTCTGTATGTCATTTTCTCTCTGATACCTAGCTTCGATTCTAGTGTAGCTTTTAGGCAACTTTGAATTCCTTTGCAGTTATTTAAATCAGAAATGCCAGTTTCCTGGGTAACATGGCTTCCTCATGAATATCCGTTCTGTGTAAGAGAGAAGGATCCTGCATGAAGCCTATGTACTGGCACTTGAGTTGTGTAAGGATAACCAAGTATGCAGTTCTAAGCTCCTAATTTAGCAAGATGTCTTTTTGAAGTCAATTAGGGGGCTTTTTTAAGAGTTAAAACATTGTTTTCATGCTCATTGAACTGCCTCCCCCAGCTTTTTTCCTGGGTGGTGGGCAAACCACATGCCTCATGTCACTTGTCAGTGTAAAACCAGTGGCAGCAGACTTGGAAGAGGTACAACACCATGTGCTGAGGTTGAGGAAGCCCTGACCGCCTCCCAGCATCCATAGGCGATGCCACTTTCATGTATGAGCTACAATGGAGAAATGCAGGACTCTGTTGGGCAACTCCCGAGCACCTTCTGCGCTGCTGTTGCTGTGACAACAATCTGCAGCAGCTCAACTTGGACTTTGTTGGGGGGGGCTGCCAGTGTTCCTGCAAGCCACCTTAAAGAAACAGTAATCTCACAGTTCAGAGGCCCTGCTGCAGCTCCTTGTAAACGGCGTTATTCGTAGTATGTGTTAATGACTGAGGGTTCGTATCAAAACTTTTCCATTGTTTGGGCTGCAGCTGTTCTATAGACCTGGCCACCCCTTCAGCCTTTAACTTTCTTTCCCTGTCTGTGCTGAAGTCATTGAAACGGCAGCATCAGTTATGGATGCTTTTTAGATACTTTGCACGGGAGAGCAGAAGCAAAGAAAATCACTGAAGCGTTACTATTGTGGCGAGGTAAGTATGATGTGCGGAGGCACCTGGTGATCAAGGTGAATGGTTCTGTTGTTGGGAGTCTGTATCTGGCTTTAAAAAATGTCAGATGCCTGGTTTGGCCTCTCTTTCTTTTTTTTTTTTTTTTGATGCGCTGATATGAGCAGCACAGGCTAAACCAAGCCTCTCCCTCTGGGAAAGGCAGAATTGCTGTTAATGTCAGTCAGGCCCTGCCTTCTGCTGCTTGAAGCTGAATGGCCAACGGACCAGGCACGTGGACAGCTGGAGTGTAGCTGTGTTTGACGGGGCAGGGGGGAACAGGGGACGACAACACTTAGCAAAAATATTTTATTGTTGGTTCACATTACACTATTGCTCTTTTCCTGGCAGAGAAAAGTATCTTTAAGGATTGTTCAGTATCTTTTTAAAAAAGTCTGCAAGAGAATGCTTACAACTTCTGCTAGCTTCCTGAAGAGGTAGAAATGGAGAAACGTAACTGCAGAGTGTTCCAGAGCACCAGCTGAAGGGGTGTTCTGAAAGTTCGAGTGGCAGAAAGAAGTTCAGCCCTGAGCAAACTTTGTGTGGCCAGCCTGCGGGCCAGGGCATGGGAGATCCCAGCTCAGAGCGCAGTTGGGTTAAGCTGACTTAAGAAGTAGAGGAGGATGTCGGAAACTATTACACCAAGGAGCCTTTTTGTGCCAGGGAGTTTGTTAGCAATTTAAGCAAGAGAGGGATGAATGTTTACAGCAAATACAGGCCTCACTGGCAGAAAGCTTTTTTTTGAAGCGGGTGTCATGCTCCTGTCTTATACAGGGAGCACTGAATAGTAGTTTTTAGAAGCTAAGTTGTTTCTAATGTTGGTGTTAATTTACATTTCCTAGTATCACCTTCTAAAGCAGAGATTGGTCATGAAAAATACAGTTGCTAAAGGGAAACTGCCTTGTTTGATCACTCTTGCTTGTTGATGCGCTCTTGCTGCATTGTACAAGGACAATAACAAAGATGTTGGGAATCAAACAGCAGGGCATGTAACACAGCTCTCGCTGCTGAGAGGAGAGTACAGGGAACTCTGCTTTCTGAAAACAGAGGTGTTTAACAGGCTCTTTTGGGTTTCAGAGATGACAGATTTGTAACAGGGAGCATGAGAATTTATACCACTGATGTGAAGAAACATTGACTTGATCATCCTATGAATATGAAAGAAAAGTAAGAAAGACCCGTAGCAGCAACTGCACAAAAACAGGCTGAAAAGAGTGGAGTTGTCCCCTCAGTCGTCTGAGTCTGCACTGTCCCAAATTCACGGTAAACAAGCAACAGTTAATTTCCAGTTATTTAATTTCCAGGTTTTTTTTATATACAGCTTTACCCTGGACTTCGATGTGAAGCTGTCAGTCAAATTCAGGGATCTTTTGCTGTGGGTCAAGAATGGTTGATATTTTCAGACTTAAGCTATGACTGCAGAAGTCATTTCTGCAGAGCCAAAAGAGTGACAAAGCCATTTATTTGGATATGACCTCTGGGTATTTGCTCTCTGTGTGGTTGGTTCTTTTGCAAATGGAGTAATTACACCACGAAATACCTGGTTTTGCAGCTGATTTCCTAGCTCCAGATCATTACACAAGATCCTATGTTTTTGCTGGAATAGATGAGGGCATCCTGATGTTCAATGAAGACATTGGCCAGGTGTTTACAGAGTATGAGACAGCTTGCTCTCTCTTTGTGCCCAAGAGATTCAGTTACAGGATCTAAATATTAGAATTTTTTTTTTACCTGCGCTAGCTGTGTTACAGATCTTCTTTCTCCAAAGCTTCTGCAGGAATCTGGTAGAGGCTCATCTGGCTAGAAAATATCAAATGCAAATAAGGGCTGGTTACCAAGCAGAGTGTGGGTATGTGCAAGGAGGGAAGTAGCTCCATTTTTAGAGATAACGGGAAGAGAATGTGCTCAGCTACCTTATGCAGTAAAGAGTTCCATCTTTTTATGGAACCTGAATGCACATCTGCTCAAGTCTTTAAAAATGAAAGACATGAAATAATGGGCCTGTAGGTAAACTGTCACATCTAAACTAAGATAACTTTTAAACTACTTACTGGAAGTAACTTTAAAAAAATGCTGTGTATGAATGCTCGCCAGGAGCATACTTTTTTCCTTCCCATGGGTCACAGCACTGAAAAGACGGTCTAAGTTGTCAATTCTATTTTCTGAGTGAAAATATTTTCAGTCTAACTTCTGGAGCAAGAGCATTAATAATACCAACAGTATGACTGTTCAGTAGCATTCTGCCATGAAATACTTTACCTTTCATTCTTTGCTTTAGCTTATCAGGAAATGAGCAAAGCCCAAAGTATAGGTAATCTGCTTAAAGAACATACAGTATATCTTGGATATCAGCTGTTGAAGGTCTCCCATATGCCTTCCTGGAAACGGTGTGAGTCAAATTAGCAATGTATCTTTTTTCCCCTTCGCACCTTCTCTACCAGATACGATTCCGCTGTCCGTTGGAGTAGGACCTTGCTAGATTATGCCTTGAAAATGATGTAGCTGAAAGCTTTGATATTCCTTTTTCAGGGCTCAGTCTTGGTCTCGATATTTTTATCAGGTACCCAAGAGCTTTCCTGGCTAAGTTAGCTGCAGGGCTGTTTTTTACAGCTGGTACATGTGATCCTCTGGATGCCCAAGAGAGCATATATTTAAGAATTAGTCACCTTCAGAAACACTATCTGCCTTTGCCTTTTCCATTTACCTTAGGTCTTTGTCTTGGAGAGCAGAAACACACTGTTCCTACATTGAAATTGCTTTTAAATGTGTCAGGTTAAGCTCAGATTGATACAATTGCATTGTATCAGTTATTAACACTGCAAAACAGGAGCAGGTAAACACAAAAAGGACAACACAATTCATGGTTACTTAAATGGCTCTGATCCTTTTTTCTTTACCCTGTGTAATTTATCTGAAAGTCTGCCAGGTGGTTGCCAGCACTCTTAGTTGAAATCCAAACTGATGAAATTGTAGACCTGTTTTTTCGGTAACTAACTATTCAGCTCTCATCTTCTGCCCCCTATTCCTGTTTATTAACCTCAGCAGAAACCATCCGAGTCATCCACCAAACCGTACCACCATCCGATTGGGAACTGGTAAATAACACTTGGCTATAGTGTTTGCTGCCATTTTTTTTCATGGTTAGTAATTTCCTGTGTGTGCCTGAGCCCTGCGTCAGTTGTTCTCTCTATTTCCAGGCTCCCTAGCTAAGGGAAAAGTTCAAACCCCAGAGCAAAGTGTTTTTTTTTTTTTTTTTTCCCCCCACCTATAAATCTCATTCCTATGCTTACTAGTATTCTTCCTATGATCACACAAAATGTGTATTAATTTTGGTTATTGGTGACTTCTTGGAGGCCAGAACAAAGGCATCCGATTGCTCTGAGATACATTACAATAAGCTTGAGGAGCTAGAACCACTTTTTTGAGCATTGTTCTGTTAACTTTTTTGAGGTACACTAAGAAAATGGGATGATAGTCAGCTTCAGGAGCTGACTTCCTGGATCTCTCGAGCCCAGGTCACTAACTGGTTTCCCTGCATGTAAACTGACTTTGAGGTTTCCCAAATCGTATTTCATCTAGATGATCTCGTAGTTGCAAAAAACTTTCTTCAGAAGTAAAATTTGTCACTTACAGATCTAACGCTAATAGTTGATTGTCTATTTTTCTCTCTTATGTTCTTGCTTACTCACTATGTGTAGCACTGATGCATTTTGTTCAGTGTCCTTCACTTCATTTTCACCATGAGCCAGCTGATGGAGACTGTGATAGAGCTTCTGGCTTTGTTCATCCGTTACTTGAACCGGGACGTACTCTGCAAGTTTCTGAACGCAATTGCAGCAGTGTTCCAGCATCTGTTCTTTTGAATCTCCACCAAACTGAACACGGAACATGCGGCATTCATTCTGCTCAAAAACCAAAGAGAAATTAAATTAACTGTGAATCCCCTCAAACTATTTTGATTTAATTAAATTCCTATTTATTAAAGTTAGGAAGAAGGTGATAAATTTTTGGATCACTGCACCAACTTAAACACAAAGAAACCAGCTTTCCCTGCTGTATCTTCAGCTAAACCAGAAGACTGTTATTCCCAGTTCAAAAATCAGTTGAAAAAGAAAAAAACAAACAAGAAAATGCTAAGTGAGCAGGGCCACTTGTCAACTAATTAAAGGCCTAGCCAAGTGAGCAAACCTTGGACAGAGTTTTTACACGTATAGCAGGGAAATTAAGTTCTTATTGTTGCTGTGAGTAGTATCCTATAAGGATATGCCAAGTCGGAACAGTTATGACAAAAAATGAAATGGTACTAAAGTAAGCAGAAGTTAACTTTGGAATCTAAACTGAAAGTTCTGGGAACTCTGTGTTCCATTTAGGATTTACGTTGCTGTTTGCATCAAACCCAGCCTTGCCTACCTGCCTGCTCTGCCTCTGCATAGCTAAACAGACAAACCCAGTTTGGCACTCCAACTGAATGCTGCTGGTCCTTGAAGCTAACACAGCTGATGAGGAGTGCCAGAAACTCAAATGCATTACTTTAAATAGTGAAATAATACTAAAACTCAAAACCCCCTGGATAGCTCTGACCCCTCAGTGTAGGCTGTCAGGCTGTACCGTAACAGATGTTTTAAGTACATGAGGTCCAGCAAATTGCACTGAAAATGGAGGACTGGCGAGTCTGTCGTGCATGATAAGCCTGTCCTAAGCACGTTCAACTGATGTAAGACGGATACATACTGAATGCCCTTGTTTAGGGAGTGAATTAATGGGACTTTCAGTTTGATCTTGAAATCTCAAATTTAAGACATAGTTACAGTACTAGAAAAGGATCAAGTTTTCCTTGAACTGATGTAGCTTATTTGAGGCTTCATCTTTCTGAGATTTTAACATCATAACCATTCTTTTAATGACTAGACACGCTGCTAGACTGCTGATTACACACATACAAGGACATCTTTCACTTGAAAGAAGTTTGTCTAAAAGATGAGCCAGTTCTTCATAACAGCCTGTATGTTTACATGCGTGTTATTTTAAGATGCTTGTATTGCATGAAACAATTTTTAGGGCAGCGTAAGCATGAAAGCTTGTCTCAGTGCCTTTTAAAGGGAAAAATATCAAAATAATTGGAAGTGTGGCACTCATTTTACCATTGCCTGGTACATTTCCTCTAATTAACTAAGATGTCAACTTAACTGGGTCAGCTTCACGTAACCGAAAATGGTTTGTGGATATGCCAGACAGGTGAGTTCTCACTAAAATGTTGGAAAGGTAACTTGCATCTTCATTTGAATTCCTTTTGGAGACTTTCAAAGAACACCTGTTTTAGTTAACCCCTACAATCCCCAAATCAGTTTTCAGTCTGAACTATTTGTATTGCTCTCTGCTTTTTCACAAGGACTGTTAAATACTTAAGATTGCAGTTTATAAACACTAGACTTCATAAATTAAACATTTTTCCTCTATGGAAAGGGAGAGAGCACTCAAATTCAGCTAAGACAATGTCAGGTTTTCGCATAAACTGAGTACTGGGCAGTACAACGAACCATGCAAGAGCTGAAGTATTAAAGACACTTGAGGTCACTTGGATCACCAAATTTGTACCTCTTCCCAAGCTGGGGTCAGAGGGGTCAAGTGCAATGAAAACAGTACCAAGGGGAATTCTTACTACACGAATATTAAGAATGTTTGTCTTGCTAGTGTTTACAGATTGTTTCATATCAGAAAGTTTTTGATGTGCCTCCATGTATAAAGACTAACGTGAGATAAGTGATCACTAGAGACAGAGCTGTAGAAAGGGGAGTCACCGCCATGCAGCTGTTTCTTGCAGCTCAGTGGAAGACACAAGCGTGCATCTGACAGGTACGGCTTCAGAATGAGATACTCCTGTGCTCCACTGAATAAAGTTTTCGCTAGCACAGCTGAGTTTCAGTAGTGATTGGCAACAAGTTTCTTCTCAACGTGTCTTGTTTCTTCAAGTATATTAACACTAAGCTTCTCAAAATATAGTTTAGAAACTCCTTCTGCTAGCTAAGAGTCCACAGTACCCTACTAAAATCATATCTCTTAAGAAATGAGTAAGTTTCACTATAAATGCAATATTAATGACTTACTTATAAAAGGAGCACAAGATAAATCGGAAATGATAGTGTAAATGTTTAGTTGCTGATGCTCCTTAGTTGCCCTGTACACTCAGATATAGGAACTGGTTTTTGTAAAACCTGTCTTGCTTTCCTCTGCTTAAAGCACTTCTGCTTGACTCTTCTTTCTTAGGTCTAGCAGAGTTGAGACGTAACCCCTTACATGGTGTGGCTGGCTTCCTGAATTTTTTTTAATATTTTTGAAGATTAGCACAGAAGCTATATGCACTGACAGCATTTAAGGAATCACTTCAGCTACAATTTAGGATATAAAGTAGAGAAATTGTATGATAGGCCCACTGCAGTGCCATTAAATGCAGTTTAAGTCATGTGGATTTACGGTAAGTAAACATTTAGATGCACCAAATTCATTTAAGACTATGTTAATAGCCCTCTTTTTCTGAACTGTCCCTCAGAGCTCTGTTCAAGCCTCAAAGTGATTGTGATGTTGATTTTGTTTCTTGTGAGATGCAGCAGAATCCCTCAATGCTGTGCTGGGGAACTGGTTCTATTAACTGTAAAGGAAACTGTTGATCTACTGATTCATCAGAACTAATTACTGCAACTGCTTGATAGTTGTCTTCAGTGATATTCCACGTTTTATAAGAATCTGACAAAAATCAGACAGCAAAGGTGTTTTGGTTTCAGACAAGCACAACCCATGAATTTAAAACAGTTTAAGGTACTTATTGATGCGGTTCCTAGTGCCACCATTAGACAAGACTTAATCTGAAACAAGATGAGTCCTTCTATTTAAATAATGCTTATTATGCCTCATATCTGCTTTTATCTTGCAATCAGCAAGGCATTCTCTCCTCTGCAAACTATATTGTTTGGTTTGTAACATCCTGTAACGAAATACTTGTGTGTCTTTCACAAAAGAAATCAGATAAAAGATGAAAATACAACTAAACAGGAATTTTTACGGTTTTCAGCTATTCTGGATATTGTGATTATCTGCAATTACAACCACCCAGTCTGTACCAGGGGAGAATGCCAGAACATTTCAGAATACTTGAGATCTTTTTATCCCTTAATAGTTCTGTGAACGGGTGAAAGAGTTAAAACTGGTCTCTAGCAGCTACGGAACAAGGGGCTCATCATCTTTTTCCATAATTCCTATTTCTAACTTAGAGATTAATTCTCTTGTCAAGTAGAGATAGTTAAACTAGAGGCAACAACGGTTCTACTGAAACAACAAAACCTAGAAACTCTGAGAGGAGAAGGGAGAGCTCTTCTGTTTCGAAACAGGCTTTGTTTCTGAAAATCCTGGTGAGTGCTCAGTGTAGATGAGTAAGAAGCTTCTCAGAGTTCATCTAAGAACCAAGAAAACTGAGATTTATATGTCAATTGGTAGCAAGCAAGCACTGCTTAATTATTTAAAGGCTAACCAACCTCATGACATCTGAGGGGAAGACCAGAAGCCTACATCCCTTTTATTGCCTTGAATACCAAATGCCTGAATCACCAGCCTGCCACTACTGTGCCAGGTGTCAGGGGCCACAAAATGGCTAAATAATTGTTTGTTTAGACACCTTGTTTGCCAAAGTGAAGTATGACTCATAGGGTAGCATGCTTCTGTGCAAGTAAGAGAATCACTTCGTCTTTTTAATTGTTAGCCATGGCAGATAGGTTCTAAAATAAATACCAGTCTAGCTCTTTTAGTAGCTAACTCTCAGAAAGCAGTCTAAAAGACCTGAATATTAGCAGTTTCAAAAATTCATTCTTGTTTAATATCTTAGAGGAAAAAAATTATATAGACAATTTACAGTATCTCAGAACTTCTTGTTTAATTTATCCAGCATTAAGAAATCTTACACAGAACTGTGTTAGCTATTAGAAATATTAAAACCAACTCAACTTACCTTTGACTGTGCACGAAGCAGCAGGCAGTCTGCTTTTCTTACTATCTTTAGCCACTTGTGGGAATCAATTAATGAAAAGCCTTCCTGAAATAAAGCAGAACACGAACTACTTGCACAGCAAACATGCAACACTCAGAAGTACCTGCTTCAGTTACGTGATGTAATTTAATCCCTAATGAAGACTGGTCATCTGCATACATGCAACTTTTGTATCTGTGAAACAATTGTCAATATGTAATTTTTACCACACTAGGAATTAAATCTGAATCTGTAGCTGCAGTAACACCACTATGTCAAGGTACATTCTCATTTCCATATATATTTTACATTTATATTTGTGCATGTTATGAAAGTCTCAATGAAATGCATAATAAACCAGCTGCAATAGAGCGCTTTAAATTCTTCTGCATCCCATGAAGTTGCCCGAGAGGGCAGCAGAGGGCAGGCAAACCTGAAGAATGGGACAGCAGTTGGTTTATCTGAGGCCCAGAGAGGCATTTTCTCCAGATGGAATTCAGGTAAACAAGCAGCAGCTTTGATAACTTGATAAAGATGTTTTTATACTCCAGTTGGATAAACTGTCAGTCTCTTCAAACAAGACAGACTGCTCAGCGTTCTGTTAAAAATATCCCAGGAAGCTGAAAACATTGTATAAAAATTGGAGGGCAATGGACTGTGTCTCCCAGGGTACTTTCCACAGCCTGCCACATGGTCGTTAGTTAGCATGTCTAGGCTGGGGGCGGGGGGGGACACAAACAACAAATTTAAGGGCGTGGAGGAAATTACCTACCTGTTTTATGTGAACTCATAACACTTTCAGTGACCATGACTTTTCACATAGGCTGCTTTTCTTAGGTGTCCTAAGGGTCAAGAACCACAAGTCATGTCCATCCTGGCCCACCAGCCGTGTGTTTTTGCCAGTTACTACCAGTCTTACGCAGGTCCAGGCTAGGAAACCATCTGCCATTCCACTTTGGTATAAGAAGCCACCTCGGTAAGACACCGCTCTTTTAATGCGCTGCACTGGCTTTATAGTCTCACGCAGCAATGGCATGTGAATTTTTAACTGAACTTTTACAAGAGGAATGTCTAGAAAGCATTGAAGAACTGAACCAAAGGCAAACTGGATCACAGACACGTAGCTGATCAGACACCTGCTATGATAGGCTCCAGAATGGTAAGGCAGCATGCAAGTATCATTCCCAAAAGATCTGAGGTCAGAGGGAGAAAAGAATTTCCTTCTGCACTGTAAAAACAGGTGTTAACAGCAGGTAAGACAGGCCAGTCACTTGCAGCATGTCTGTTTGCCCTGAGCACACTCAAAACGCCTCAAGGTAGGACTTGCTAAGGTGTGAAAAGCCTCCAGGTCAAAAGAATAGGAAGACCTCACTTTGTGACCAAGGGGAAGTACCAAGCTATCCTCTGCTCTCACAGGAGGCGGTAAAGGAAGCTGGATCCTAAGAGGGACAAACTGCAAGTGACAGACCTCGCAACAGAGCAGAGCATCTTAGTTGGTAAGTCTGCGTTCTCCAGCCATACTACGTGACGCAATTAGACTGCTGACCCAGTGGCGCAGGAGGCCGTGTCCAGCATGCTCCTTCCACATACAGACAAAATCCTCTCTGATGTCAAATAGGAAGTCTCTGAAGAAGGTCACTTTGTCAGGTAGTCTGAATTTATGCCTGACACAGTAAAGGAAGCCTGTGAAACACCTTTACTTCTCTGTACACCTGGCATTTTTAGCGCCCCTGCCTTTGGGGTGTGCAGGCCTAGCTCCTTTGGATAGACCTGCCCAATTAGAGCTTGGGGTATGGACATGAAAGTTGGGGCAGGGTCAGGGAGAGAAGATACTGAGCAGAATACCTGAGGAATGAGATGAGATTAGTAGGCTACTAAAAGAGCACAGCACTGGTGGAACTCTTCTAGAATAATCAGTAGCAGTTTACATGTCATATTTTCAATTGCACGATAGAATATATTACTTTGAAATTTGGCTAAGGAATCACAGATTATCACCAAATCGATTTGGTTCGAAGAGACCTCTGGGATCATCGAGTCCAACCTTTGCCCTCACACCCCCATGTCAACTAGACCATGGCACTAAGTGCCACCTCCAGTCTTTTCTTAAACGCCTCCAGGGATGGTGACTCCACCACCTCCCTGGGCAGCCCATTCCAACACCTAACAACCCTTTCTGTGAAGAAATGTCTCCTCATTTCTAGCCTGAACGTCCCCTGGCGCAGTTTCAGACCATGCCCTCCTGTCCTGTCACGAGTTGCCTGGGAGAAGAGACTGACCCCCACCTGGCTACACCCTCCTTTCAGGCAGTTATAGAGAGCAATCAGGTCTCCCCTCAGCCTCCTCTTCTCCAGGCTGAACACCCCCAGCTCCCTCAGTCGATCCCCATCACGCTTGTGCTCCAGACCCTTCACCAGCTTTGTTGCCCTTCTCTGGACTCACTCCAGGACATTCATGGCTGAGTTTGGCCCCAAAAATATTGTTTAATGCTGAAAATGGAAAAGCATCAGCAAGTTAAGCTAGCGATTGTGCACAGCAGAAAGTTACGTCAAAAGTCAAGAATTTCAGTCATGCCAACATCATGGAAATAGGGAACAGCATCTGCAACAGCAAAAATCAGCGTTAATTGTGCATATGCATTGCAAAGAGGTCTTAGTACATGGCTGTATGAAATTCAAAAATGCAATTTGTTTTGTGTACATGAGAAGTACTTTAGAGAAGACATCCATCTACGATGCTTATCAGCTTGTGCTGTGCTCATGCTGCCACAGTTGCTATAAGAGATCTACTAAGGAAGCAAGCAAGGAAAACTGAATTGAAGTTAGAGGAGTAAGGTACAGCCAACTGAATTCAAGGTGGGAAACAACTGGTTGCAGAAAACATACATAGCGCAGAAGAGTTTGAATGGGGCAGGGGATAGGCTCTCAAGCCAGAACAGAAAGAAAGATGTGATATGTAGAACAGGAATATATAAAGCAGAAAAAAATATTTTAAACTGTCCCTTCCAGAAGGGGTATATTCTTGATGTTTATACAAATAATCTGCAGTAGATGAAGTGCATTTACATTTATTTTTGTGAAATAAACGCACACTAACATAAGGTGAATTTCATCTCTGCACAAGGACTTATTTATCTCATTTAAAGCTGTAAATGTTGAACATCTTTTAACTTACTTATATTGAGGGGAATATCCATACCTTCTGAAAACACACGGGCCAATCTAGAGCTGCTCACTCTGGATAAGCAGCCAGGCTGAGTCCTGGAGAACCAACCAGCCTAGGAAATCATTTTGTGTTGGAGTATGACAGCTGCTCGTGCTTACGTGCTTGGTGCTTCCTGCCATAGGGAATTTCTCCACTGCCACTTGGCTCTCCTCTGATTCCACTACCAAGCCCCAAAATGCTGTTAGTGAAGCAATTCTAATATCCCATTCTTTCACTAGGCCACTTTAACTTTTGGCCACTTGTGCTTATTCTGTAAATTTCAAATAGTTACTGTTCTTGATACACACCAACTGTGTTTATTTAAATATAGCTGTTCCCATATTAAGTCTATTTTTATAGTGTTTTTCCTTTCACTGAAAGATGTAGGTCAAACAAATGTTGTCTCCTTAAAATAATAACTGTTTTCAAAGAAATCACGAAAGACAGCCAATGTTTAACTTTCCTACCAACTATTTTATTGACGTTTCCCAGGTTGTCATCCTTTTACATGTCCTGTTTCTGAAGTAAAGCAAGCTGGAAAAAAACAGCATTTGGATTTTTTATTTATGTACTCCTAATTATTCAACTCCAACCCCAAAATCTGATTAACTGAAATTTAATTTACTTCAAGTTTAATTAACTGAAGAACAAAGCAGAAAGTATTTCCTTTCCTCTTGCACCTTTGGTTGATTGTATATTGCCAAGCAGAAACAAATAACTAAGAATAGCTAAACCAAATAGAAAAACTCAGTGCAGTACTTGAGCAATACAACAGACCTGATTTGGCACAAGCAAGCTACCTGCAAAAGGAAAGAGAATGTTTTAGAAAAACTCTGACTCTGCAAAACAACTCAGACTGAACTCCATCATTAAATTGTTTACATCAGTAATTCTCACTACAGTCAGGATCCTCTAGATTTTCCTCAGTTCTAAGCAGCAAATAAGCCCAATTTTGCACCATGTTAAGGTCTACTCAGTTCCTTGTGGCTCTTCCATGTTACCTCAGTCAGCATAGACTGTATTTGAGGCTGCCTGAATTAAGAGAAAGTAAGATTCCTCTTAACAATGACAATTCTCTCTTTTGTCAACAATGAAATAGTTATGAATCTGCATGTGAAGTTAGGTAAGTGAATTCAGAGCAATAAGAAAGAAGACCACAATAAATCTGTCCCTTGTTACCATTGCTCAAAGTCGAGAGGATCTCTGGCAACATCCAGGAGCTAGGCACAGAGTAGATCCTGGAAAGTGCACGGCAATATATTGAGATTATAGTCCATTTATGCCTTTCTAGAGATAATTGACTCTAAATCTGCTCTGGACATATGTTCTGACAAAGAAATAAAGCAGTAGTCCACCCAGATTGCTGCTGCCACCATGCTGATGGAAATACAGAGAACAAAGCAGCTGTGTTCACTGTTCCCCTTGAGCATGCAACATCCATAGCTGCTTTACATTCAGAGTTGGGCAGTGCTGAGCAGTACTGGGCATGAGCAAAGACAGATGGCAGTGTAAGATTAATCAGGAACACAGACAAAAAAGGCAACCTAGAACTGGGCAGGAACCTAAGACCTCAAAGTTTACAATTTGAGGAGATAAATGGCAGAGCTTTTCTAAGTCTGACCATTAAGGTTCAGTCACGCATATACTCCTTATGTCATTCTCCAGGATCATATTTGTACGAACACTGTACTAAAGGAAAACAGTTTCATACTTCTCTGACAAAAATCTAAGTCTCTCAGAGGGAGGACCCTGAGAGGAATTAACCTGAAGGAGAAAACAAACCAAGACATTTGCCAAATATTTTGGAAGTAGGCAAGATGCAACCACACCTTACATGAGGCAGAGAAGCCAATAATGCTGGT